AGAGTCCTGTGTTCAATCTGCGGCACCCCACAGACTGGGTGAGGTACAGGCCCATAATGCCAGCACTTCAGAGTAGAGGCAGGAGGGTCAGAAGTTCAAGAGCATCTTCAGTTACGCAAGGAGTCTAAGCTGATATGTGATTCTGCCTCTGCTATAATCCCAGTGATAAAAAAAATGCATCAGCAGACATGTATTCAAGGGAGTATGATGTGTTCATTTCGGCATGGGAAAGACAAGCTCAGGGATTCTGGTTTACATGTTCCTAAAATATTAGGAGTATTTTGGTTGGGAGGAGGCACTGTCGCTGGCCTGTGGCTCTGTTCCCCATCAGTGGTTCTCACCTGAGTCACTGCTTAACATCTCAGCGCATCCTCATGGGAAGCCTGAGGTGCCTGACAGGTGAGACTGAGCGCGGAGTAGCTCAGTGTTTTTTTAAAAATCTGTCAGGGCACGTGCTGGGCCAGGCTCAGTCTTGCTACATTTTCAAGCTTTGTTTAAGACAGTCTTGTAGCCTGGGCTGGTTTTGAACTCAGCATGTAGTCTAGACTAGCCTTGAACTCCTGATCCTCCTGCTCTCAGTTCCCAAGTGGTGGGGTCACAGGCACGTGCTATCACACCCTTACCACAAACTCTTAACCTTCTAGACTCCAAACTGCTCAGCAGGGGCTGCTGGGCATTCTCCATGTGTCTCTTGTCTTGTGCTTCAGCAGACCTTAAACCCCAAAGTGTGCAGCCCCCCCCTTGGCCCAAACCAGCTGCAGGATAACGCTGTGACTATCCATCCTCAACCCTTGTTTATTAAGATATGCACGACTGTTTGGCTTGCACGAGTGAGTGTCTGTGTACCACGTACGTGCAGCATCTATGGAGGCCAAGAAGACATCAGAAATGGAGTTTCAGACCATTGTGAGCCTCCATGCGGGTGCTGGGAATTAAATTCAACTCATCAGCCAGTGCTCTTAGCCCCTGGCCAGCTCTCCAGCCCCTCGATGCACCGGTTTCTATGTGTTCCCAGGACCCAACTCATCTGAGTCCTGGTAACATGGACGCGTATTCTTGGCGTTACTCTTCTCTTGCAGAGAGAGAAACCAAGGCCTTGGGAGGCCCAGCCACCTCTGCATCCCACACACACCAAGCGGCAAGGGCAAGCTCCGGCTCGGAATCTGTTCTTTCACTCAGATTCAATTCCTTCTCCGGATTCAGCCCAGGCATGGGACAGGCCCTGCAGAATGAGGGTGTGCCTTGGACTTAATTCACTGTGCCCCAGTTTCTTGACCTCTGGAATGGAGACAAACTCCCCAGGAGGACTCCTTACAGGGTGGGTGAGATAGCGAAGGGGAAGCTGGAATAGACCGAGTCTCTCCCGGCCCTCCCTGTTCGTCTCCATCATTTCTGCGCACAGTAGGCACTCAGAGGTGCTGACAGTGTCTTTTAGTTGGCACTAGTCCTGACCCAGCGCTTGTAGTATCAAAGTGTCGTGAAGAGTTAGGCAAGGGTGGATTAAGGAACTCCTGCGGATCACTGGATAATCAGCTAAACCACTTAAGCTGCCTGGGAAAAGGCTGAGATCAGGCTGCGCATTAATTTATTCAGCAATGACTGTTGAGCACTTAGCTGAGCTGGAAGGGTGTCAGCCATGATGGCAGTGCTGTTAGTGAGGATTTCCTGTGCACCATAGACCCTGGGAAGAACATTTGATTGCCTTTCTGTTGTTCTTTAGTAAGGAAGGTGATACTTGGGACCAAGGGGTGCTGGGTGAGTTGTGAGGAGACATTGTTAGGACCCTGGTGTTTGTGGGGGTCACAGTGCCACTCAAAGTCCCCTTCCATGGCATTGTTGCCCTAACAGGGAAGTGGCAGCCTTTACCTGAAGGCCCTGGAGAGGTCTGCCATACCCTGCAAGGGCCATGCCAATTCTAGGGCAGCCCACATTCCAAGCCGGATGAGGACCAGAGCATAGAGGAGTGAACTGGTCTAACCTGGGTCAACTCTGCCGGGCCCTTCTAGCTTCAGAGCTCTGCAGGGGACTGGCTGACTCTTGGCGGCCTGCTCACTGTGTGACTCCTGCTCCTTTGGGCTTCCCTCCCCTCCTTTGTGCAGCACAGATTCCCAAGACAACAACTTGCAAACAGAACACTGTCTCAGAGTCTGCTTCCTGGGGAGCTCAGCTTACAACAGTCTGACTATTGTACTGTATGGACCCTTTGCTAGGTGACTAAAGCAGCCTCCTTAATGGCTATAGGATAAAGATGTCGCCCAAAGTCAAGATTCAAGGAGAAGAGCATTAAGCACAGACTCCACTGTTCTAAACATTTCATCTACTTCAGCTTTTCATGTGGGTGTGTATTTGTTTGTATGTATCTGACAAAAGAGGGTGGTAGAGCCGTAGAGCTGGAATTAGGAAGTTGGGAGCCTCATGGTATGGGTGCTGGGAACTCTGGTCCTCTGAAGGAGAAGCCATCTTAATCACTGAGCCATCTTTCTAATCCTTCTTTGTTTTGTGAGATGGGGTCTCATGTATTCAAGGCTGGCCCTAACCTCAATATGTAGCCAAGGATGACCTTGAACTCCTGATCTCCCTGTCTCTACCTCCCAAGTGCTGAGACTACAGGCACGCACCCCCTTTGAAGCTTTCACTAACCAAGCAGCAGCTCTATAGTGGTCGTGCTGTTAATTGGGACCCCATATTTATAGAGAGGTTCTGCCTGTAGAAAAGCAAGGGCAATGGTGATAAAAGATAAAGAAAAATAAAGAATGTTGGCATGGGGAAATAGGAGGAGGAGGAGGCGGAAGAGGAAGAGAAGGAGGAGGAGGAAGAAAAAGAAGCATGATTTGTCTGTGTCATGACTGAGTTCCTAGCTTTAGGGAAACTGAATTTAAAGACCTGGGCAGTTGCTACCCAGGCAGGAGAGTGAGATCATCGGATGAAGGGCCAGCAGGCTGTGTTAGGAGGCAGACTCTCAGGAAGAGGTGACAGACACCACAGGAAGCTGTGCTCTTACAGAAAGACGAAGACTCAAAGGGTGGAGGGACTTTATTTGCAGTCAGGCAGCTCCTGAACTGTTATAGAACTGATTCTATGGAGACACAGACTCCAAGCCCGTTGCTCTTTCTCCTTTAGCTCTCAGGGCCAGGACCTGGTGAGCTGTTCTGGTCTTATCTTCTCTGTCCATCTGTCTGCTGATCAGTTTGTCAGTAGTTCCTCTTTGGAGGCTGGCTGGCATTTTTTTGGCTGCCCTTGTTTTGGTCCTGGGAATTAAACCCAGGACCCTGTAGGTGCTCTACCCTAAAACTCTATGTGACACTCCCCTCTTTCCTTTTGAGACAGGAATCTTAAAAGGTTAGTCCAGAACTCACTGTAGCTGTTACTGACCTCGAACCCAGCACCCTCAGTGCTGGATTACAGGTGTGAGGCACCATGTATGGCTTGGTGTGGTGTCTTTGTATTCCCTTCTACTTGGGAGGCATTGAGAGTTGGCCAACTGCTCATTAACTCATTCTGAACTGGTTCCTCACTTGCAGGGAGGATTATTGCCTTGTAAAGTAGCAGGTAAGGATTTTTAGCCTCTTTTTACTAGTGGAAAAACTGAGGCCTGAAGAAAAGGCAATCAAGGTAGTGTCCAGCCCAGGCCAAACCTCCCTGTCCCAATTTAATTCCTTCATTTCTGTCTCTGGTCTGGGGTCCTAGGCAATCCTATGAGCTTAATGGTGTGGCCATTGACGACTCTATTTTTTTTTTCCTTCCATATGTCCCAGAAGGCCCTGGGGTCTAAGAGTAGAACTTTATTCATCTACCAAACACTGCCCATCACCCACTCTTTGCCCTTGTTACAGGCTTTAGAGTTGGTGCCCACATAGCATAACCTGGGATAACTCACAGCTGCTGGAGTCAGCTGCACGAGAACATGGCACTAGGGCAAAAGCCAACCACTTGGAGACAGTGGGGCTCAGTGGCACTGCTCTGCAGTCTCTGGAATTTGCTGTCACCTAGAGAATGCACCTTGCCTGGCCCTAGCACTCTGGGATGCAGGCCTCTTCCTCCTGACCTACAGCCTCACTTCTAGCCTTCCTCGCACACAGTAGGGGATCTTTTCAGAGCGAATGGCAGAGGGTGCCCTGGAGATCTGGACTTGAAGGCCACATCTTGCCAGGGTTGGGCTAGCACCACACCCCTCACCTGTGGAATGAGAACTGAGCTGGCCACATAAAGTTGACGGGAAACCATTAGCTCTTCCCCTGTCTGTTCTAGATACGCCTTGCCTTTATCATAGATCCCACAGACTGGTATGCGGCCCTCCCTCTAATCAAGGTCTTGTCCTGTTCCTTAAAACATTTGTCGCTCCATATTGTTCATTGCATCAAATGTCACCTCCTCCCTGAAGCTGACATGACCTCCGCCCCAACCAGCTGAACCTATTCCACCTGTTTTCTGGACAACTCTCTTCCATGTTCCAATAATAGTCTGTTTTCCAGGTCTGTCCCCGACCTGGGCTATGATTCCTCGTGCATTAATTTGCAGCATAACCATCTCTACAGTCTGCTGAGTCTGATCGTGTGCTATAGTAATCTCATGAAGTATGTGTGAGGCTCTGGTTTCAATCCCTGCTAACACACACATACACATAAAGGTATGGCAATTAACATCAAGACCCAAGAAAACCGGAAGGGGCAGTATCATGGACAAAGGAGACTGTCTCTGTCCAAAGCTAAGGCTGCTGGATCTTCAGGTACCATCCAGTTTCCGGAGTCCTGGTAGCTGGAAAATCCAATGGGCTAAGCTGGCAGCTGGCCTGTCAACAGCCTGGGACTCCTAGGTTATGACACGGCAATTGCACGACTCTCAAGACATTAAAAAAAAAAAAAAACTATTAATTTTTCTGTCCTTTGGGCTGCTGGAATTCGGTGACCTCCATCCCGCTTTGGGCCACTCACAGCCTCAGGTGTTTTTCCAAGTTATAGGTAATTGACAGTGGGGATGAAAAGGAAATGGAAACTCAAAACTGTAAAGCAACCCAGTTTTATTTTGGTTTTAGAGGACACCGAGAGCATTGTTTCACTCTGCAGCACTTAGGTATAAAATCTTCCCTTCCCCCCGCAGGCCAGAGGCCCAGGGAAGATAGAGGATCAGGGAGATGGCTCTGGAACCCGGTTAGTGGGCTGCACAAGAAGGAAGGTCAGGCAGAGGCCTGCAATGGCTCAGATTGGGAGGAGGGGGCGGGAAGGAGAGCACAGAATTCAAGAACGTGGAATCCGAAGGCTGGTTCAGTCCCCTCCATTTGACCGCTGAGGCTTGGGTAAGAGAAGCAAGACGCAGCTGTCACACAGCAGGAGGCGGGCCTGCAGGCAAGGCAGGCGTCCACGGCCGGCCGGAGCCGTCTCGGCGCGTAACCCTGGCGCCTCCACCCTCACGGAGGATGTGCGCGGGCCGGGCCACCGGACGCAGAGTTTAGCGACCCTAGGCGGCCGCTCTCAGCAGCTCACCGAGCCGGCGGGCGGCGCGGACCCCAGGTCCGAGAAGCAGTCGAACTCGCTCTGGCCCAAGAAGAGCTCGGGCAGCTCGCGCACGCGGTGCAGCCCAAGCTCGAGCTCCAGCGACGTCAGCGCTTCCTCGTCGATGAGCTCCGCGTCCATGCAGCCCAGGGCGGGTGGCGGCGGCGGCGCTGACGCTGCTCCGGGCGCCGGCTGCAGAGGTGAAGGGCCTCCGGCGGCTCCCGGGGGCGCCGGGATGCGGCCCGGGGACGGCGTGGCTGCAGGCTGCAGGTGCGCGCTGCCGGCGCTCGGCGGCTGCGCGACGGGGAAGGGCTGGAAGGAGACCGGAGACCCGAAGGAGCCGTATGCCAGGGACCCGGGTGGCGGCGGCGGTCCCAGAGGAGCCCCCCGCGGCCGCAGACCACTGTCCATGCCCTGGCCTACGTATGGCTGCACAGTCCGGGGCGCGTGCGGGCCGTGGGCGTGCGGCGGCACCTGCAGCAGGCAGTAGCTCTCGGCGAGCATCAGGTGGTCGGCCATGGCAGCGGGCGGATTGTCAGCGAGCGCCCGGGGTCCCGGCCAGCAGCTCCTCTTGGGCGGGAGGCCCGAGCACCTTGGCGTCCCTGCAACTCAGCCAGGCAAAGGAAGACCCAATCGGATTCGTCCACCGCTTCCCCTGGGGTCTCCCGGATCTCCTCTCTCCTGAGCTGCCCCACTGGCCGTAGGAACTGGCCGCAAGAGAAGCAGTCGCCGCTAGTGTGGAGGGTTCGCAGACTCGTGCAAGTCTCGGAACCCGGCGATTTCTTATGGCAAGAGGCGGGATCGCCACGCCCCCTGTCTGTCATTGGCTGGGCTAATCCCTCCTGTCAGTGTCTTGGGCCCTTCCAACGATGCCTCGGCCCCACCCCTTATCAGAGCTCCGCCCCTTACCAGAGCTCCGCCCCTTGGGCCTCCAGGGGAGGTTCCAGGTTGCAAATGCTTTTTGGTGGCTCTGAGTGGTTGACATTACTCTGGGGCTCAGTGAAGAAGGCCTTCGGGTTCTGGTTAGCGGGGGATGTGGGAGTAGCTTGAATTTGCAAGACGATGAAGTGGGAGGGCCAATTCCTGGAGCTTCTGGATCTTGGGATCCACTCAACTTCTTAATTTTTTCAGACCGAGCCTCAGAGGCAGAAGAGATCTCCTGGAAACACACAGGCCTTTTAAGATTCAAACCCAAGACTTTGTATTTCACTTCAGTGAAGCAGGGTCGTTTGGAGAGGTTGGCTCTCTGTCCCCACAATCCCCAGGGAGCCTGTTGCTCCTTCTCTGGCTCTCACTGTGCTCTGTCTGTTGAAGCATGTCCCGAGTTGTTATTAAAATAATTTATGGGCATGTCTCCTGAAGGACTTGTTCGTCTTCTTGCCCTCAGCACTTGGCCCGCAGCCTGGCCCAGAGATGGCTTTCGGTTAAAGTGGAATGAATGAGCAAATGATGGCGTGAATTGCAGCTCATTCACCAAGCTGCGGCTTCTTCCTCAGTAGAATGCTGGCAAGGGCAGCACAGACCACACGCGCTTATGGTGAGGGTTAGCTGAGGCTGTGTGTAAGGAGCCCTCCACAGTGCCTGGCATATACGTATGCAAATGTTCCTTAACTGATTTAAGGGTTGGCTATAGGATTGGTTCTAATGACCTTCCAGTGGGAGATTTTCACACCTTCTTTGGATCACAGTAATCCTAACCTGGATTTTTAGAGGGCTTTACATTCTACAAGCATCTTTGGGGCGGGGGGGGGGGGTAGGGTTTAAATTTTTAGCCCTGTTTTGCAGGTAAGGAGACATAGGCACCCAAAGAAAAAGTGACTGTAGGGGTCCGCTGTAAAAAATTAGTCTTACGCACTTCCAAGTTCACTGAGCCACAGGTAGGCCAGGAGACCTTGAACCTTGACTTACACATGTTGGTTTTTCCCTCTTCTGCCTCCCCTCCCCGGCAGCAGCCTCTGGACTTCCTGGAACCTTGGTTTATCTAGCTGGTGTCGAGAGGAAACGTTTAGCGGGGGGAGCTCAGGGGAGCCGGGGTTCTAATCAGACCTCTGCCACCCGGAGGCGTGTGACCCTTGGCTGTTGGGTGGGGGTGGCGTCACCACTTGATTCCATGGGGTTCCCTCTGTGAAAGAAAGTTGGTGGTCCCTGCCTGGGTGCCCAAGAGCATGGGGGGGGTCACAAATCTTCCCCCCTTTCCCAGCCTGGAGTAATAAAGGCCTTGGGCTATCTCTTTCTCGTCAGATAAGGCTCCACACAGAAATTCGTAAACCTGACTGGACCTCCCTCTCAACTGGGGGTGTGCATGGCTAGAGGGAACCCTAACCTTCTGAGTCAGGCATTGAGAGTTTGTTTGTTATTTTAGACAGGGCCTTGCTGTGTAACCCAGGCTGGCCTTGCAGTTGCTCTTCTTGTTCTGCTGCCTCTCTAGTGCTTGGACTGTGGGTGGTTTTGAATCCCGAGACTATGTTGAAAAAAATCGTCCCTATATAGCCGGTCTAAGGAATCCATCATTCCGTAGTGGTTGCATCACGAGACAGTTTCCCTTTTAGAACACGTGTATGTGAATAATGCTTTAAAAAGTTCTTTAATCCGGGGCTGGAGAAATGGCTCAGCACTTCAGAGAGCTTGCTGTTCCTCCAGATGACCTGAATTCCGTTCCCATTGCCTACACCGGGCAGCTCACAACCACCCTTAATTCCAGCCCCAGGTGATCCAACGCCCTCTTTTTGCTTTTGTGGGTACCTGTGTACGTGTCACACACACACACACAAAATGAAAACAAGTTTTTTTTTTAAAGTTCATTAATTTGTTAAACAAATATGAAATGTCTACACTACATGAGACATTAATCAACTTCCGACTTTCAAACTTTCAAGGTCGTGAGATTTTCTGAGAGTGTAATGAATTTGCAGACGCTGTGGCCACAATATAACTGTACATGCATTTGGTGTGTTAAGTGATGGAGTCTGGGTTAACAGCTCACTAGGGGAACTGTGGAGGTGGCTGCATAGGTCGAGTACTGGCTGTGCAAACTTGGGGGTCTGAGTTTGGATTCCCAGTACCCACCTAAAAAGATGAGATGGAGTCATGTGTGTGTAATTGTGGTGCAGAGGAGGTGGATGGAAGAGGACCTTAGGGTTTGCTGCCCAGCTGGACTAGGCTAATCTGCAAACTTCCGATCCAGGGAGAGACCCTGTCTCAAAAAGAAAGGTGGAGTCCAGTGAGATGGCTCAGCAAGCAAAGGTGCCTGCGGCCAAGCCTGACAGCTTGAGTTTAATCCCCGGGACTCATGATAGAAGGCAGCATCAACTTCCAAAAGTTGCTTTTTGACCTTCACAAGCACCCCATGGCACATGCGTGCACACACACACAAATAAATAAATACATGTAAAAATGGAGGGAGACACCAGACTTCACCCTCTGGCTTCTGAATGCATTGTATACACATAAGCACACACTTAAACATATATGCACATATGTAACACACAGGCACACAGACCCATTAAATACTTGGATATGTAAGATAAACAACAAAATAAAGCGAGGCCTAGCATGCTGGAAAGTGAGGGTAGGATGGGAATATCAGGAAGTGTAAGGGGCCAACAGGCATGCAGGAGAGGAGGACACAGGTTGCAGATTCGCTGGGGGACTCAGCAGGAGGGAGACTAAGCCTCCGTGGGACTGAGTGGTTGGGGCAGAGGCAGGAAGAAGAGTCAGGAACGAGGGTGCAAAGGCTGTAATCCCGTCAAATGGAAGCTGAGGCAGGAGGACTGGTAAGTGTTCAAGGTCAGCATGGGCTATAGTGTGAGACCCTGTCTCAACAAAACGAAAGAAGAGGAAATGAAGAAAAGGAAAGAGGAAAGGCTGTCAGCCATGTGGGGTCTGGGGAAGGAGCTGACAAACAACCATCATGATGTCATTTTCGGCAAGTTGCAGATTTTAGAGCAGTGTGTGTGTGTGTGTGTGTGTGTGTGTGTGTGTGTGTGTGTGTGTG